TAAAAATGTTTAAATTTATTAGGATAAATATTTAATTGTTTTAATAATAATAAAATTGAAAACAAGTAATAATTAAAAATATATATTAAAAATGTTCAAAAAATAATTATTATTATTATTATTATTATTTTTTCTGCCTAGATGTTGGAGGGAATAAAAAATATTTTTCTAAAGAAATAATTCCGCCTAAATGTTAGAGAATTATTATTAATAAATTTTTAAATATATATATAAGAAATTTTTAATTAATTTTCAAAAATCATTAAAATCGAACTTGCTTCGAAAATCTGTCTAAATGTTGGAGATTTTTATAGATGTTCGTATTTTCTTAAAAATGAAACCTTAAACACTAATTCTTAATTTTCAAAATCCTAGGTTTCTAAAACCCCTAAAATCCAAAATCTCCTTAAAATCCAAAATCCTAAAATCCGAAAACCCTAAAATCTAAAATCCGTTAAATCCCAACCCTTAAAATCCGAAATCCCTAAAATCCAAACCCCAAAATCCAAAATCCCTAAAATCCAAACCCTTAAATCAAAACCTCAAATCACAAAACCCAAACCCTAAAATCTCCAAACTCTAAAATCAAAACCCTAAACCTTCCATATTCTAAAATTCAAGCCTTAAAACCCTTTAAACCTTAAAACCAAACCTTCAAAACCTCTACTCAAGCCCTTACTCAAAACCTTCTGAAAATCCTAAGGACATGTGTGAAAATCTCATTTGAAGCAATTTGTTCTCGAATACTGCCTAGATGATGGGGTATTTAAGAAATTTTACTTCGTTAAGTTTTTTCACACGATTTCTTAATTCGCATTAATAATAAGATTAATAAATAAACGGTATAACAGTAAATTGGGATCTTAAATATAAACAGTCACACGTAAGCTCTGCTTGGATGTTGGAGAGTCGGGGTGGCCTCATTATACTAAAGAATCCAACTTTTAAATTACATCTCATCCTACATAACATTCATTGGCATACATACGTTAGCATATTATTATTAGTATTTATTTGCACTATTTTGTCTTTAATTTTTATTTACTACTTGGTGATAAAATATTTTATAATAAAAAAAATAATACTTTTAAAAGAAAAAATTATGATATTACAAAATAAAATAAAAATAACATTCCAAAAGAAATAATTCTTGGTACGCTGTCTAGATGTTGGAGAGTCACCAATAATTTTCTATAAAGAGTGTTATTTCATTTTAAGGATTATTATGTTAAATTTTAAACAAAAAGAGTTATTTTAAATTCTGCTTAGATGTTGGAGAATTTTAAGATAATTCTTTAACTTAAAGATTTTCTCAATATTTCTAAATAAAAATTTTAACAAAATTTTATTTTTTCAAATGAAGGGAATTATTGTTAAATTTCAAATTAAAACTATTTTTATCCAACATAAAAAATAGCACGTAATTAAATAGTACCAATTTATGAGCGTTGTGGGGGTGCTAATCATTCCCCACACGTAACCGACTCCCGGACTCAACCTGATTTTTCGTAAGTCAAAATTTATCTTTTTGATAAACTTTAAATCCGTTTTTATAGTTTTATTAAAAATATAAACTTTTGGGTGACCAATCACACTCTAACAAAGATTGGTGGCGACTCTCTTTTATTTCTCTCGATTTTAAAATATTTTACGTTTGACGATCCCAAAATCGTTATGAGATCTAAAAATTTTAAAACAATTATAAATATTAATCCCCATCTAATACCAATTTATCATAAAATCAACATAAAAATTACACCAATAAAAATAAAAACTCAACAGATCCGTAACAACTAAACTAAAAAAGTCTACTAATAAAATAATATTTAATTTAATTAGCAATCATTACCAAGCTTCAAGAAACTACCAAATATAAAACTTTGCAAAAAAAATTCAAAATTCATAATAAAAACCAAAGTATAATCAAATTTCAATAGTGATGTGAGACTTTGCACTCAGGTGTAAACCTCAAAATCTATATATATATATATTTGTTACAAACCTCGAAATCTATTTATTTATTTACTAAGAAGTCGGGAAATAGAAGTCTAGTAGGCGCTGTGAATTAAAGAATGACCAAAACCTGGCAAAGCTCATAATTCATTCGGACAGTAAGAGAATGATAAAAGCACTATCTATGCTTCTATTTCTATACAGGCACCCATGCATGGCACAACTTTTTGGCATTGCTCCAATTTTACATTAATTCGTGAGGTTTTCCCCTTCTGTCCTGTCGCTTTACGTTTATAGAATGAAATAATGAAACAAATTCCTTGTTAACATGTTGGAGCCCATCTTTCTGATCAGCTACGGAACTTTTTGAACGAAAGTTTTATCTTGAAGAAGCAAAGCTGCCTATTTTTGGCTCATTGAAATAAAGTTGAACCCAAGAATAAAAGTGCAACTAAAATTATATATATTTTGATTAATTTTGGGAGCTGATCAGCTGGTTTCCCCTACGGATCTACTCTCATGCGTGGTCAAGCTTTACGTCTAAAAATAATGGCGATTCTCTTTTTCTTTTTCTTTTTTTTTCCTCTCTAAAATTGCCGTCAATCTAGAATAATAATTCTTTTACAGTTGTTATACTGTTGGGATGATATATATCAGATTTTCAATCATAAAATGAAAGATTCAGCAGTGGTTGCTATGTAAAATCAAGGAAAGGAAAGAATGAAAAAGTGCAGGAAAGAAAACCCTGCAAATTTAAAGAAAGAATGGTCCTCTTCTCCCTCCCCATTGTGTCCTGGACGCCATTAAAGAAGTGGGTGTTGGGCCGTCTGAGTTACCCTCATTCCAAAAGAGTATACAACACGTGGGCATTCCAAATTTATGTACTAATAAACGTAGTACGTATTCTAATAAAGCATATATACGTATTCTAATAAAGCATATATACCCCAAAAAAAACCTTCAGCTAATAAAAAAATTTTATACTTGCTTTTGTTTACCCTATTATTTTTGTAGCTTTTTGATAAGAATTAAAAAAAAAAACTCTTCCTAATATTTAGTTCAATTCATCAAATGTCACTTTATATTTATTGAAATAAAAAATTCAATACGTTATTATGTACAAATTTTGATTTTGAAATAGGGCAGAAGTCAGTACTCCATTCTCCTCGGTAGCTGTATGGCTGTCCAAACAATTTAACGAAGTCGCCGCAGAGGCATGATGTGTTTCTTGGTCCAGGTGGGACCATGAAAACTCAGTGGCTCCGACCCCATCATCTCTTTTCTTGCTCACTTGTCGTTGAGGTGGTTGCTCAAGTAAAGCGAGTGATGTTTATAAAATAATAAAACAGAGAGAGAGGGGTCCTTTGCAAATAGATATTAAGGTCGAGTGTCATAGTGGAGATGTGGGCGTGCCCCCCGCTCGCACACTTCTAACGCATTTTATTTAGGGTAGGACCCACTGTTGTTTTTTACCACCAATATGTGGGACCCACTTACCCTGTATATTCAACCATTTTATTTTGGAAAATCCTCCCTTTTGGAATTACTGACGTTTCCCCATAAGCTCACTTCATGGCTTGGATTGTTTTCAAAACTAATATGAATCATAGTTATCAAACCCCTATTGGATTATTATTATTATTATTATTATTATTATTATTATTATTATTATGTTTTCATAACAAACTATACCAATCATAGTTATCAAAGCCCGATTGGATTGTTGGTCGGACCCATTAATTACCTTGAAATCATAATTAATTTATTTTTTCATCAAATTTATCTGTCGTTATGTTATTTAATCAAAATAATATATTTTAAATAATTTTTAATTACTTAAAAATAAAAATAAGTTGCATATAAAGTACAAACTTACAATTTACAAAGTAAAAAAAAACTAAATGATTAAAAATAATTTTGACTTATTTTATAGTACTTAGAGTTAAAAGTTTGAATTTAATTTTGTATCATATTTAATTATATGATAAATTTTCATTTATTTTATGATATAAGTTTTAATTTTATAAGTATAAACTATCTAAAATATAATTTATTATTCATCAAATAAATAATTATATTGATAAAAAATTGATTAATTCAATGGTTGAACCACTAAACTTATAATCAAACACCTTAAATGATTCATTAATTGTTCCCATTTTGATAATTATTAGCATATGAATATTATACACAACAAAAACACATATATCAAGAAAACTCAAAAACTTTTTATCTAATTAAGATGAAAAATTCTAACGTGCTCAAAATTTTTTTGCGGAGTAGACTCAATATATCCAATATACACGAAAAGTACTAATAAGTTAAAATTTTCTATCAAGTAGACTAAAAAAAATTTTTATCTATTAATTGATTTTAATATTTTATTATTATGAAAATATTTTTACCTATTATTAATTATTAGAATTGAAAACTAATTATTCATGTGTTACATAGAAAAATAAAAAATAAAAACTGATTTAAAAAACTTTGTAAGAGAAAGAAGAAAACGAACCAGGATTTTAAAAATTGAATTGATAAAAATTCGGAATGATAATTATAAGCCACGAAGAACATAAACCCCAAAAAGTGTTCTGTTTTCACGTTACTATAATTTTTTCAAGATTATACTGATAATAAGTAATAATTTTCATTTTAAGGTAATTTTGGGGCTCCTAGAAGATATTTTTTTTTGGGTCAAAATATTAACCGGCTGTGCAGGTGATACGTTACAGGGATAAAAATATGTGGCTATTGGAATGACGTACGGAGCGTGAGGTAAGTCGGGTCTTATTTTATTTTTTGTTCCGTATAAATTTCTCTCTGTGGTCGCCAGTTTTGAGGTGGTTGGCTCTTCTCAAGGGCATAGAACACACGTTAAGTACATCAAGGGCCATGATACCTAAACTTTTCATCAACATTTGGACCATTCCATGCCCTACCACCATTATAAATTATCATGACTGCATTACCCTTTACGCACAACCCCCTCCTCTCTATCTCCCTCCTTGTCATTGCTTTGCTTTTCTCTTTTTCTGTTACTCTCTCTCTTTCTCTCCCCTTAGCTGATCAGTTTTATTTTTAAAATTAATTAATTAAACATTATATACCATTTATATATCTCAGCAAGGAAAACCCACCTTCTTTCGTGATTTGAAGCGATCATCAGCTAGCTAATGTCAGAAGATATGAATCTATCCATAAATGGTCAGTCTCAGGTCCCTCCGGGTTTTAGATTTCATCCCACAGAAGAGGAGCTTCTTCACTATTACCTCAGAAAGAAAGTCGCTTATGAAAAGATAGACCTCGATGTTATCCGGGAAGTTGATCTTAACAAGCTTGAGCCATGGGATATACAAGGTACATATCAAACCCCTTTTTCACTGATTTTCTCTAAATTTTTTTTTTTTTATGAAAATTTGCTTTTTGTGGGTTATATATGCAGAGAAGTGCAAAATAGGATCCACACCACAAAATGATTGGTACTTCTTCAGCCACAAGGATAAGAAATACCCAACGGGGACCAGAACTAATCGTGCAACAGCTGCCGGGTTCTGGAAAGCAACTGGCCGAGATAAGATTATCTATACTGGCTTTAGAAGAATTGGATTAAGGAAGACATTGGTCTTTTATAAAGGAAGAGCTCCGCATGGACAAAAATCTGATTGGATTATGCACGAGTACAGACTGGATGAGAACACCACCCATGACTCTAATGTAAGCAATCCTCTTCCAATATTTCCTTTATAATTATATATACGATATTTATGTATTTATATATATGATATTGGAGTGTATATCATTCTTAATCAAGCATTTCTTACAAATCTGTCTGATATATATGTTAATAGTAGTTGTTGTAATCTTAATAGCAACAAAAAATGCTATGTCCTGAATCTGTTTAGCTTATATTAAATTATTAAATTGGTCTAGGCTTCCAATCCCATTGGAGACTCCGTGCCTGAAGATGGCTGGGTGGTTTGCCGTGTATTTAGAAAGAAGAATTATCAAAAAACACTAGAGAGTCCCAAAAGCTTATCCTCCAATTCTCTGGATTCAAAGACACAGATGTTTTGCTCAGGTGCCAGCGATGGGGTTCTAGATCAAATTCTTCTGTACATGGGAAGGACTTGCAAAATGGAGAATGATTCATTGAGCAACATGAACATCCCCAACACCACCAACAGCAACAATAATCTAAGAATGCTTGTTGCAAACAACGCCGGAATCAGCGATGGGTTACATGAAAGGTTTATGCATCTCCCCAGGCTAGAAAGCCCAACTCTCCCTTCGCTTCCCATGAACAGCCCGCCCTTCGATCAAGAAAGAAGCTTTAAGTCTTGTTACCAATCCATCGATGATATGCTGACCGAAACTGAACCATCTTCAATCGACCAAGGGGGCGGTATTGCTTGTGATCACACGGGTTCAGTAGTTCATAATAATAATGAGTCCAAAAATGGCGTTAATGACTGGGTTACCCTGGACCGACTTGTGGCATCCCAACTAAATGGTCAAGTACAGACTAGCAAGCAACTATCATGTTTTAGTGACCCTAATGCGGTTTTCAGTCTTTGTCACGATGATGATATTCACTTATCGCACATAAATTTGCGCAGATCAAATCAAAACTCGCAGGTCTACAGCAACGAGAATGATCTATGGAGCTTGACGAAGTCATCGTCACCGTCGTCATCAGACCCCTTATGCCATCTGTCGGTATAATAGAGTACATGTCAGGATCATACAAACAAGCCTCTGCTCATTGCTTAAGTATTCTCATAATTAGGTATATGTGGACATATATATATATATATAGGCAAAAACATATATATACATATGTAAGTATTTGCATAAATAAGGATGAAATATGAGATGGGGTGGCATTGTCCAGTCATTACACTTTACTTAATAACCATGACATCGATCTAATTACTGATCATCATCTCCGGGAAGGATTATTATAGGGATATTAGAGATTAATATGTTCTTTTTTTTTATTCTACTTGTAATAATTTCCAAAGGCGATTGTGGTCTTACCCTGATTCGTTAACAGAAAAGCTTGACAAAGTTTAATCATAGCTTAGTGCTGACTTTAGAGTCTGGAATCTGGGGCTCATGTGTCTCATGGGTCTCACCTCTGATCAATCATTTCCTCAAGACAACAGTCATATATTGTTAATTTGCAAATAAGAAAAAAAATCATCAATCTGTTATGGTGGTGTCGAGCAAGATTGAGATTTAAAGATACTGTTGTCTCACCTAACTACGAGAGCCTATCAAGATTTGGAGGAAAAAAGGTGACCATCTTTAAGGAATTAGGATAAGATGTCCGAGCCTAGGGCCAATACAAATTTAGTACTGCACTTCTTTTGTCTTGTTCTATTTCTTCTGCAACTCGGATTAATTCTTTTCTCTTTTCTATTCTTTCTTTCTTTTCGTTCCTTTTTTTTTTCTTTTTTTGAAACTGACAAAGAAAGTTCAATTATTTAATATGAGGGAAAAAAGAACTTTTTATTTTCTTTCTCATTTGATATAAAGAAAAGGAACTCTTCTTTAGGGTGCAAGTTGATTGAATAGGTTGGTGTCTGTTGAGAACATGAGGTAATCACCCGGAGAATATTCTCCTTTTTGAAAGCTCTTTCTCAAATCACGGCACAAGTTTTACATACTATTATATTAGTGTGTACTAAAGTCGTTTAACTTTTAGATGTTTGTGTGTTTCAAAGTATATGCTCACTATGTTTTTTATTTTTTATTTTTGAAATAAAACTAGGAAGAAATTAAGAAAAACGTTTAGAGGCATTCAACTCATCACTAGATCTGCCTTTTCTTGGTTTGAGCTCAACTTTTTCCATGGTGACTGCAGAACAAAGAACTGTTAAAATCAAACGTCCCTAAATCTGCAGGAATGATCTTTCTAACTGTTATATGTTGCTAATAGTATGCAAATCACATGAGAGATGAGACTTTGCAAATTCGAAAAAGACACTTGTCGTAGAAATGTTGGAAGTTTGACTAAAAATAGGTAGAGTTAACCTGAGATGACGATAGGCTAAGCGGGAGGAAGCACATACCAAAAATGCTGACTAATCTCTGTCAAACTGAGACGTGGTTAACTTCTAATGAAATCGAGTATGTTGAGAGGGAAACTGTCATTTTTCATTATGACATAAAATTAATGTAATGCAATATGCAGTTGAATGTAGCAGTTGCTTGCACCAGAAACATGCACGTACATTAGCTCAAACTAGTCTCATGAGCTAGCTGTCTATGTTGTCGACCCTTTCCTCATTTCTTGTCAATTATAATTTGCAAGATGTTTTTATGTGATTAGGGCCGAGTGGGGTTGTCTTATTTAAGGTCACAACATGGTGTAGGGTCGAAATTTTGCTACTTAATTAACATATGATGATTTGGATCAGCTCAAGCATCTCGTTTATGCCTTGTGCAAATTAAAGAAATATAAATGTTTGGTGCCTTCAATATTTCGTGAGTCAAGGGAATTAATTCTAGCACGTACAGCTGGTGAAAATGGATTATTGGTGATAATTACAACTGTTGCAAATCATTTAGGAGCATTTGAAAATTGCAATTGCCATTAGTTGCGGCTCAATCTTTTCACTTTAAATGGCAACTTTAACTGGTTTCATGACATAAATGGCATCCTTTTTTGAATAAGAAACTCATTTGTCATGTTAAATTGTTTGCACTATTAAAAAAAGATTTATATTTAATGTATTATTAGTGTACTGATTCTATCATTGTCAGTAAATTGGATGGTGCCATTTTATTGATGAAGTGAATCAAATGATACTACCTTATTAATGAGTAAATTTTTTAAAAAATATTAATTTTTGTATATATATATTTTAAAGGTTGATATTTGTTTATTAATAAAGTGATATTATTTGATTTACTATCAATGTATAGAGTCTTTACACTAATAGTGTATCAAATATAAACTTAAAAAAAGAAAAAGAAAAAAAAGAATAATTATTATTTCTTTTGTTGTAAATATATATATATATATATCTGAAATGGAAAATTTTAGATGAAAAATTTTAAGTGAAATTTGTGAAATTTCTTAACATAAATTGTCTTAATAGTTTTGAGATTGTCAGATGATTTTAAAAAGCCATAAAGAGTTGTCATTATTCTTTCTTGATTAGATGCGATAGGCCACCTAGTAAAATAAAATCTTATAATTAATTAAAGTTTATTAAAAAAAATTTTGTTTAACAAAACAATTTGGATTTGAGAGAGTACGATTATATGTGAGAAAAAATTAGCACCTACAATGTCCATTGTAAAAAAAAGGTATCAATTAATCATCTGTTATTGTTTAATTTTGAAATTTTGGTCTTCATTTTGATATTTAACAATAATTCCTTAAGCTTTTTTTACATTTTTGTTTATTTTCTTTATTATAATAATTCATCTTTTTTCACCAAATTTTTTCTTTTTTTATGTAAAAAATATTTATTATTATCATTTTGTTTGAAAAATAAGCTAAAAACTTGTTTAAAAAACTCTCAAAATGTTCCAATACACTTGTAATACTAGAAGAAATTTTCTAACCTAGAGATTTATTAGAAATCGCTACTCATATTTTTTTTTAAATCTCATCCTAGAAAATGTGTATTTATTTTTAGATTAAATAATGCAAAAAAATAATATTAATATATTATTGTATGTAACTTTATTCCTAAAAGAAACTTTTTTTTATTTTTCTTTCATTTATTAAATTAAAAAAATAATAAGTATATGAAAACCTTTTTGTATTGAATATTTTCTTAAACATCCCAATACTTTGGTAGCATTTTTAAAAAATATTATCATCTAAAAATTTTTAAAGAATCACTATTCGAATTTTTTAAATATCCTATCATCAGAAATATTTTTATTTATTTTTTAAATTTAATAGATTTTTTAATACTAATTTTTAAAAAAACAAATATATTTGTTTTAGAAATTTAAAATCAAAATATGTATTATTAAACAAATAAATAGTTTAGCAAAATATATAGAAAAAATAAAGAAATTAGAAAAATTACCCACAAAAAAGTTTGCCAACACTGGTTAACACAAGTCAAAGGTCAACAAAAGTCAACAAGTTAGCGATTTGAACAATCGGTCCAAGAACTGATTATAGGTCTGGCATGCAGATCTCAAGTTATATCCAGATCCATGTGTGAGTTAATCACCTATTTTTTTAAATCTCTATAAAAGTTAACTTTTTTTTTTTTTCATTTTAATTTCCTTATTAAAAAAAAACTAAACAAAATCTCACAAAAAAAAAAAAAACTAAACAACAATAACAACAAGCTAAGTTTTATATTCCATAATTGAGGGGTTGGCTGCATAAAAGACCAAAAAAAGAATCATGTTAAGTCGTAGTTTTGAATCTTCTAGCATTACTCATTTCTACTAAAAATAACCTTTTCATCTACTTCTTTAACCATCATATTATTTTTTATTACTTACATCCACATCTTTCGTGGTCTACTTTTAGAAGCTTTGATCTTTTTCAAATTCATTTCTTTTAACTAATGCATAGATAGGTTTATGTTTCATATGTTCAAACCATCTTAAACGACCATCTTTCATTTTTTTTCTTTAATTTGGACTATCCTTAATTTTTTTTGAATCTCTTCATTTTTGATTTTTTCTTTTCTAGTCTTATCACATGTCTATCTAAGCATTCTCATCTTAGCCACATTCATTTTCTTCTTATGTTGTTTTCTTCCCGACCTAACAATGTAGGCCTTACAATTATTTTATATAACTTTACTTTAACTTTAAAGGCATGTTGTGATCACACAACACCTGACACACTTTATCACTTTAGCCATCCTACTTCAAAGTTATTAGTCAAGTCTCCAAATGCCTTCATATACATTACAACTCTTTCATACATATCTTTAACTATGTTAATATATTTTAAAAGAACCATTTTTTTTAAAAAAAATCCCATTTTACAAAGAACTCAAACCACTAGCTACCTTAAAGGAGACTAGAATCTGATCGATTACCATCACCCTATTCGTCACCCTTTGTTGTTGGTTACCTCTCAACATCATTGGCCATTTGTCACTAACATCCAATTTCTTCCAAAATTCACCCAAAGACACCTTTTGATCCCTTCTTTCCATTCTCCAATTAGTTTCACCCAAAACTCATTTTGAAGTTTTAGATTTGAGCCTAAAGCTGTCAGTTTTAACCCTTCAAACTTTTCCTCCACCTTTCTAAAAATCAAGCCCTAAAACACCTTTAAACTAGCTAGGCTTAAAACCTTTTGAGACCTTTTTTTTCTTTCTATTTTATGATTTTATGATTTTTGCTTGTGGTTTTGGATGCTGCTAGTCCTTCCCAAAGATGTGTTTTTTGTGTTTTTTGTGTGTATTTTTTTTTATTTTTTGAGTGAAAATGGCTGGGGAATGGGTTTCAAGTAGTAATTTTTTAGTTAATTATAAGTTTTTTTTTTTTTTAAGTAGGGGTAGCTTTAGAAAGGCAAGGATGGTTCTAGTGTTAGCCAGTTAAGTGTGGCTTTTTTTGTTGTTGATCGTCACAATTTTGGGATAGCTTATGGGTAAGTTTTGTTGGGTAGTTTCATTAAATGCAAGGGCACTAATGGTAGAGGGTTGTTTTTATGGGTGGTCACGACGAGGCTATGTTTGGTGTTTATTGGTTGCTGGTGGGTGGTTATGGTAGGGCTATATGAAAAATTTTGGGTAGAGTTTTGCTTTTTAAAATTGGCCTCATCTTGCCCTATTTTTTGTTCCACTTTTATTAGCACTTTTTGGTATTTAGGTTCATGAAAGAAAATGAGGAAACAAGTAGTGATTTGGTGGAAAAAATGAGGTTACAAGTAGGGTGGGCAAAATCACCTGAATCCGTCGGGTTTCGACCCGACCCGACCCCTTAGGGTCGGTTTTTTTTTTTTTGAAAATTGGGTATCGGGTAGGGTCGGGTAAAGTAAAAAAAATTTCGGGTTCAGGTCGGGGTCGGGTTTTGAGCAAACCCGACCCTACCCGACCCGATATATATAAAAAATTATTTTTTTAATTTTATATTTAATTATATATATTTTTATATATATTTAATTTTATATTTATATTTAAAATAATATTTTATTAATTTCGGGTCGGGTCGGGTCGGATTTGATTTTATACAATGTCGGGTTAGGTCGGGTTCGGGTATTAAAAATGAAAAAAATTATCGGGTACGAGTTCGGGTATTGCATATTTAAAATCGAGTTGCAAGGTAAATAAGGGTGGCTGG